GAAGGGACCTCTAGAGGTCATCTATCCAACCCCCCCAAAGTAACATCTTAATTAAATGTTGTCTTCGGATCAGCATGGTATAGGTAGTATGGAGTCTCTAGACACCACATGCCAAAATGCTTGTGTCTTGAATGCAGGTCGCTTTGATTCTTAATCTAAGTTTCATGCAGGCAAGCTCATTAGATTTGTATCTCCTTCTTGCTGCACGTTAATGTTTGGCAGCAGGATGTAAGTTCCGGTCACCACGTTTGTTCTCACATCCTACCTGCTGAGCTAGGGTATAAAACCTAGTTTCCAGGGGGTAAAGTCTAGTTTATCAGCCTGTTTTCAACCTAATATGGTGTGTGCATGGTGTGCGGGACCAGTGAAGTTATGCAAAATGTTCATGAACTAAGGGGAGATTTTTATTTATTGCTTTAGGACACTTCCTCACTCAAAGATGCTGTTTGATCCAGAGAGTCTGAGGCTTTGAGATTGAGAGACACAGCGTGTCACTGAACTGCTGTTTTCATTTCGAGCTGTGAGTTTACCATTTGCAGCAAATCCAGCCCTTTGCACACAGAAACTGAGTTGGCAGTTGTACTCAGCTGTGCTCCCAGTCGGTGAGAGCAAATCTGGACATGCAACAGAACTTTCCTTTCCTGTCTCAGAATCTTTCTGCTGCCAAGTGCACCTTGGTGAGAATGGGGGATACCAGAGACATCTGTCCTCACCTGGATTCCATAGGAGAGGTGACTAGGGATGATCTGCTGCTCAAATCTAAGGTACAGGGTGTTTTAGTTGTTACTTCATTCCCTTTTTGCTTTTGTGCATGGCTGTGCATGTTTGTTTTGGGAAGGTGATAATACCTTGCAAGTGTTCCATAAAGGGAGCCTTTGTCAATCCCACCTGGTGTATATTTCCCTCTCATTTTATTCTGCTCAAATGTGTCACTTATCCAACACACTGCAAAGTGTATATTTAATTAGAGGTGTGGTTTTAAGAAAGAAAATGCTCTGAGGTGGTGCTTGGGGAGGTCTTGTAGAGAAGTTTCTCACTCTTGAAGAACTAGATTACTTAAACAAACCTTCTTTGATTGTGATTGCAGGGAACTTGCCAGTCTTGTGGAGCTGTGGGACCAAATCTCTGGGCTTGTCTTCAGGTAAAAATAACTTGATATCTGTGTCCTTGTGTGCAAGGGGATTTTACAGTAGATGTGTCTAACAGTTTTTTT